GAAGAGAATAGAGAGCACCGAAATAAACCCATGCCTGTATGGTCAATTAATATTTGACAAAGACAGCAAGGACATACACATACAGTGGGATAAAGACAGTCAATTCAATAAATGGTGTTGTGAAAATTGGATAGATACATATAAAAAAATGAAACCAGAACACCTTCTTACACCAGATACAGAGGTAGGCAAAAGTAGGTTTATAGTTGTTTGCATGAAAAAATACAAATTAATAAATAATAATACAAGAATAAACGCTGTTTCTTGTGCTCACAACTGTAGATCTACTTTTGCCCACAAGTACAACAATAAACTCAAAATAGATTAAAGACTTAAATGTAAGACACAAAACCATAAAACTCCTACAAGAAAACATAGATAACCCTGGCCGGTTTGGCTCAGTGGTTAGAGCGTCGGCACACAGACCAATGAGTCTCAGGTTTGATTCCAGTCAAGGGCATGTACCTCAGTTGCGGTTTATCCCTGGCATTGGTCAGGGTCATGCAGAAGGCAACCAGTCGATGTGTTTCTCTCACGTCAATGTCTGTCTGTCTGTCTGTTTGTCTCTGTCTCTCTCTGTCTCTCTCTCTCTCTCTCTCTCCCTCCCTCCGCTATCTGAACAAAAATGGAAAAATATCCTCAAGTGAGGATTAAAAAAAGAAAACATAGAAAATAAAATTCATGACATTTTTCTTAGCAATATTTTTTCTTATACAGCTACTCAGACAAGAGAAAGAAAACAAAAAATAAACAAATGGCAGTACATTAAACTAAAAAGGTTTTGCACAGCCAACAAAACCATCAACAAAACGAAAAGATAACCTAATGACCAGGAGAGCATATATGCCAATAATACATTTGATGAGGGGTTAATATAAAAAATCTATAAAGAACATTAACATCACAAAAAACAAACAACCCAATTCAAAAATGGGCAGAGGACCTGAATAGACACTTCTCCAAAGAGGACATACAGATGGCCAATAGACATATGAAGAGATGCTCAACCTCACTAATCATCAGAGAAATGCAAATGAAAACCACAATGAGGTATCACCTCACACTTGTCAGAATGCCTATCATCAATAAATCAACAAACAACAAGTCCTGGAAAAGATGTGGGAAAAGGGAACCCTCATGCATTGTTAAAGGGCCTGCCAATTGGTGCAGCCACTATAGAAAACATTGTGCAGGTTCCTAAAAAACTTAAAATAGAATTACCATATGACCCAGCAATTCTACTTCCTGATATTTATCCAAAGAAATCCCAAACACTAATTCAAAAAGATATATGCATCCCATTATTTACAATAACCAAAATATGAAAGTAACCTAAATGTCTGTTGATACACAACTGGAGAAAGGAGATGTGGTAGCTCTATAGAGTGGAGTATTACTCGGTCATAAAAGAAGAATAAAATCTTACCATTTGTGACATGGATGGACCTAGACAGTATTATGCCAAGTAAAATAAGTCAGACTGAAAAAGAAAACTACCATATGATTTCACTCAGGTGGAATCTAAAAAACAAAATGAGCCCTGGCCGGGTAGCCCAGTTGGTTTTAGCATTGTCCGGATACACCAAGATTTCAGGTTCAATCCCCAGGCAGGGCACATACCAGAATCAACCAATTGCCTGGCCGGTGTGGCTCAGTGGATTGAGCATCATCCCATGGAGTGAAACATCCTGGTTTGATTCCCAGTTGGGGCACATGCCTAGGTTGTGAGCTCGATCCTGGGTAGGGGGGCATGCAGGAGGCAGCCGATCCATGTTTCTCTCTCACGTCAATGTTTCTCTCTCCCTTTCTCTCTCTCTAAAAAATCAATAAAAACATATTAAAACAGAAAAAAAAAAAAAGAATAAACCAATGAATGCATGGGTAGGTGGAACAACAGGTTGATGTGTGTGTATGTGTCTCTCTCTCCCTCTCTCTCCCTCCCATTAATAAATGAAAATTTAAAAATAAATAAATAAAATTAACAAACAAAATAGAAACAGACCCATTGATACAGAAAACGAACTGATGACTGCCAGATAGGAGGGGTTTGGGGGGACTGAGTCAAAAAGGTCAAAGGATTAAAAAGTACTAGTTAGCAGTAACAAAATAGTCATGGGGATGTAGAGTATAGCACAGGAATATAATCAGTAATATTATAAAAACTATGTACAATATCAGGTGGATACGAGACTTATTGGAGGAAATCACCTCGTCAGTTATATAAATGTCTAACCATTATGGTGTACACCTAAGACTAATAAAATACTGAATGTCAAATGTAATTTTTTTAAATTATAAATTAATTTCATAAAGAAAAATAAAAAGTATTGAAACTAGACATAAGTGATAGTTACACAACATTGTAAGTACACTAAATGCTAATGAACTGTATACTTTATTATGATTTATTCTGTTATATATACATTTTATCTCAATAAAAAATAAATACATTAAAAAATTAATTTTAAAAAATGTTTTAATGCTTATTACCATCTAATACTCCCAGTGGGGAAGTGATGTAATGGTAAAAGTTGAATTTTGAAGACCAACATTGTGTCAAAATCTGAAGCTATCACTTCTTAAAAGCTAAACAAATTTGTACGAATTATATGAAGTTTGTTCTGAATTTGTTTTGGTTTTGGTGGTAGGAATAGGAAGCATAGGGGATAGGATGCCAAGGTGTAAAAGTGCTTCATTAGTGAGTACTGAAATTAGTTAATGAGTCAAGACTAACATTTTTCATCTCTAAGAAATGGAAGAAGACAGTTCAGAGCATTTTCATGAAGTTAGAGTCAAGTCTATTTCGTGAACGTTTTAGCAATAGCCTTTAACAATCTAGAACATATGTGGACACAGATGAATGTGTATACTGAGTCACATGTAAAATATATTTCTTCTGTCTAAAAATTTAAGATAGAGCAATCAATATGTAAAGCCACTGCCAAACAAATGGAAGGATTAAACAAGATTATAGGTGTAAAGTGGCTAGCATAAGTATTGCCATTCTGTTTTTGGAAACTATGATTATTTCAGGATAGTAAGTTTAAATTCTAACTTCTAACCTCAGTCACAGTGAAACACTAAAAATGTTTACCTGGTTAAAAATAAGACTTGCTACTTCCAAACAACTTTTAGGTTGTAACTTATATACTTGTATTTGGCAAAATTACAAATGCATAGCCTTTTCACCCAGCAATTTTACTTCAAGGAATTTACCTCCAAATATACTTCACATATGTATAAACTAATTATGTACAGTACTTGTTAACTGTAGCATCATTTTTGGTAAAAGCAGAAATTTTAAGCAAACTAAATTTTTACCAGTAGAAATCTTGTTCAATACATTCTAGTACATCCATAGAGTGGTATCAGTAATGGCGAGGAAATCCTTGGAAGGAGTTTCAAAATATAACAGAAAAAAGGGAAAGGAACAGGCAATTAAGAATGGTATTATCTGGCCCTGGCCTGTTTGGCTCAGTGGTTGGAATGTCAGCTTGCAGTCCAGAGAGACCCGGGTTCTATTCCTGCTAAGGGCACATACCTCAGTTGTGGTTTGTCCACGGTCCCGGTTGGGGTTGTGTGGGTGGCAACCACTCAATGTGTCTCTCTCACATTGATGTTTCTCTCTCTCTCTTCCTCCTTCTCTCCCTCTCACTCTGTCTGAAGATGAATGCAAAAATGTCCTCGGGTGAGGATAAAAAAAAAAAGAATGGTAACATCTGTATTAAAAGCAACATTTTTGCTCTGTATATATTATGCATAAAATGTATCAGGAAGAAAACAGAAACAGGTAAACATAAAAAAGGAGAGAATATATATATTTGATATATATTTGCCTGTGTATATGTAGACTGTTTCTAGAAGAATATATAAGAAATAGGTAAGGGGAAGCAAGCAGCTGTGAGTAAAGGGTGAAAAGGACACACACACACACACACACACACACACACACACACGTTTGGGCAAAAGTAGGTCTACAGTTATGAATACATGTAACATAGTTTATTCTTGTATTGTTATTTATTAATTGTATTATTTTCCACACGAATAAATGTAAAATTACTTTTGCCCCAGTCTATATATAGGGTGTCCCAAAAAATGTATATATAATTGAATAATTATAAAGCCAATGTTTATTAAAATACATTTCATTTTCAAAATGTAATAGAATATGCAGACACCTTAAACACATTTTAGGGGGACAAACTATGTATGCTTAAAAATTTTAAAGAAATTAGCATCGATTAACAAGATATATTTAGAGTGATCAAATTTTTATGTTTACTTATAGAAAGCAAATGGAAACCAAACTAATATAATATAGGACAAATACAGGACACAGTCCTCTATACATAAAAGAAAAGCTGAACTCTAGGTTTAGTATAGAGTTTTATTCCTTGGCTATTGTTAGAAGTTAAAAATAAACAAAGACAATGTCAAATATTTCTAATCTATCACCTCAGTGTAGATGAATAATATCTACCAGTGTCTACTAGGACTGCTACTTTAATTAAGCTAATGGTGCTTTTCTTACTTATTCCAGAGTTAGCCTTTTTCCAATAATGATTATGGTAAAAAGAAAAGAAATTCTTTCTTTCCTTGACACATGTAGAATATATGTTAATTACAGTAGTATGTTTTCTATTCAAAGTAATACTATTATTAATCCCAAGTGCATATATGATACTAATTCACGTCATTACAGTTCCAATACGGTAGAAGAATGTCAACATAAACATGTTGGCAATTTACAAGGCACTTTTCAGAAATAATAGCATGCAATATACTACTGAAGATACTAATAGTGTTTACTTAAAACTTTTAAAAATTGAATTTGCAGAGTAGTTTCAACAATTTACCTATTGCAACAACAGTTTGAATTACTAACCACAAAAATATAAACAGAAGAATGAGAAAGAAATGTTGCCAACATTTAGGTGTAACTCAGTGGCGTGTATATATGATATATGCCAGATGAACGCAGAACACCTGCAGCTTACCTTCTTCTGAAGAACATTAACCTTCCGCTCCTTCACATCCAGCATGTCCTTGAGGTCATGTATCTCTCCAGCTTGTGTTCCCTTCTCCTCAGCCATATCCTGAATTTGTTTTGTTTTCTTATTCAGCATGGTTTCCTTCTCTTCCAAACGCAATCGCAGAGCATCCACCTAAAAATGGAAGAGTTTTTTAAATTGATAAATGTAATTCCTTTCAAATACATGTGTATAGTTGCCTAAATTATACTTATAGAGCAAACTTTTATTAAAATCAAATAAAATACCATTCTAAACATAATTATTACTATTTAGAAATTAACCCTGAAATTTTGTGAGCACTTTTTTTTTTTTTTTTTTTTTTTTTTAATTTTTATTTTTTATCCTCACCCGAGGCAATTTTTCCATTTTTTGTACAGATAGAGTGGAAGGGAGAGAGAGGAAGGGAGAGAGAGAGAGAAACATCGACGTGAAGGGACACATCGAGTGGCTGCCACCCGCACGACCAACCAGGGCCGGGGACAAACTGCAACCGAGGTACGTGCCCTTAGCGGGAACCGAACCCGGGTCTCTCTGTACCGCAGGCCGATGCTCTAACCGCTGAGCCAAACCGGCCAGGGCTGTGAGCACTTTTATAAGAAAAAAAAATTTACATCAGTTAAATTACCATCAGATGATAGCAAGACAAATAGACCTGACTCAAGGGGACAAAATGGAGACTTGTTATAAAGAGGTTGGCTACTTCTTACATAAAAGTAGCATAATCTAGAACTATGTTTCTCAAATTTTATCTACATTAGAATCACTTGGAGGGTCTAAACAGATTGCTAGTCCTAGCCATCAGAGTTTCCAATTCAGCAGGTTTGGGGCTCAAGAATTAGTATTTCTAATTTCTAAGTTCCCAAGTGATGCTACGCTGCTTTAGAAAATCTAATATTAGAAACAAACCACAAGCATCATCAAGCATGACACTTGCTGTATGAGATAACAATCTAGCTATAAGCCATGATGCTTTTAGAACATGATGCTTTTAATACGATTAGAGATCTGTACAATGCAAAGCAGCCCTGGCCAGTTTGGCTCAGCGGTTAGAGCATCCGCCTGCGGTCCAGAGAGACCCGGGTTCGGTTCCCGCTAAGGGCGCGTACCTCGGTTGCAGTTTGTCCCTGGCCCTGCTTGGTCGTGCGGGTGGCAGCACTTGATGTGTCCCTTTCACATCGATGTTTCCCTCTCTCTCTCTCTCCCTCCCACTCTATCTATGCAAAAACTGGAAAAATGTCCTCGGGTGAGGATAAAAAAAAAAAAAATGCAAAGCAAAGGTCTACTTTCAGACCCCAAGACTAATCAGCTGAAGTCTGGCATCCCTGAAGTTTAACTTTTGTTAGATGTAACTGTAAAATAACTAGAATTCTAATGATAGCACTTATTTTTAAATCTATCCACAGCAAATTTCATTAACCATACTCATACACCAAATTTTTTTTGTTTTTTGGTTTTTGCTTTTCCACTGAGGATTTATAATTCAGCAAATAGTTACACATTTGATTATATTAAAAATGGGAGGTAGATTTCTTTCACATTAAGATAGTGTTGTTCAACAGAAATATGAGTCATATATGAAAACCACATATAAAATTTAAAATTTTCTAACAGCTACATTAAAAAGGAAAAAAGGAACAGGCAAATTTAATTTCAGTAATACATTTAATTTAATATATCTACAATGTTGTCATTTCAAACATGTAATCCATATAAAAAACTATTAATGAGCTATTCTGCATTCTTTGCTTCATGTTAAATCTTCAAAGTCCACGGCATACTGTAATTTACATTTATATTACATCTCAGTTGAGACTAGCCATATATTTTTTTATATATATTTTATCCTCACCTGAGGACATTTTTTGATATTTTGTTCAGATAGAATGGGAGGGGGAGAGAGAGAGAGAGAGAGAAACATCGATGTGAAAGGGACACATCGAGTAGTTGCCACCCACACAACCCAACCAGGGCCGGGGATAAATTGCAACTGAGGTACGTGCCCTTGGTGGGAACCGAACCCGGGTCTCTCGGGACCGCAGGCCAACGCTCTAACCGCTGAGCCAAACCGGCCAGGATTAACCATATTTTGAGTGCTCAATAAACACATATGGCTGTGGCTACCACACTGTGCAAATCTAAGATATCAAATATATTTCTATAAAACATCTTAAATCTCGAATTTGTCCTGTATTATTTGTTGTGTGAGTATACATTAACCCACAATAAAAAAACAGGTACTATGAGTAATGATTCACATTTACAGTAAAGCAAAACTCTCAGAAAAGATCTAATACTATAAAACTAAACTATAAGGTATCTGAGAACCAATACTGTGTGTACAGTGGTACTGACTGCTCAGTAAGTATTACAGAAAATTTCCTAGGTGACCAGTCTCATTTGAGACTGTTCTGGTTAAGTCATAAATTATATCAAACAACACTGAAAATGAAAACGTGTAAATTAACCAGCTTTCACTCTGCTAAACTCTATTTCTACCAACCACTTAAATGCTACCAAGCCAGAAATTGAGGAAACAACCAATTTTGGTCCACTTATAATTCTTCTCAAGTTCTATTAATAAATACTCTTTCACGTCTAATATTCCTTTAGTCTACTTTAATAAATAATACATGGTTAACCAGATTATATTCTGGAAAGGTCCACCTAAGAACTTTCAAATTCTAAAAATCATATTTCTGAAGCAATTCTTTTCTTTTTTCTATGCCTACTAAATTTATCCTTTGTCCACAAGGTAACCTTTGAGCTATCTCCCTATCTTTCTTGTTATCTCTATTCTGTTTTCATTCGTTTTTCTCCCAGCCTGAGCAATCCTTTCACACACAGACTCATATCATCTTCTTTGTTTTTAGTCATATTTATTTTACAAATATTAACTTCTATATTAAACCTTTTCATCATTCTACATTGACTTCTGAACTTTTCTGCATATGGTCAGACATATGCTTGCCAACCTTATATACACTATATTAAAAATCCTCACAATTCTATCTTTAAGCATTATTTTCTTCCCTCGAATTCTCCCTGTGGAAAATCTACTCTTCCATGGCAACCTGGGAAACTGGGGCTTGGAGAGGATAGCAAGCCTAAGATCTCATAGCTATATATAAGTTATGGGCAGGAATTTAAGATTAAATGCTCTGTCTCCATTATCTTAACCACTAAGTCTGTACTACACTCCTCGCCTTAAAACTAAATAAAAAGAGTATATACTGTATGGTTTCATATATGTAAAATTCTAGAAAATGCAAACTAATCACAGTAATAGAAAGCAGATAAAGGGTTGCATGGCAATGAAGGAGGAAGAAAGGGGTAGTGGAAAATATGAGGGAGGGGCAGGAGAAAGGGAATACAGAGAGGTACAAGAAAACTTTGGGGACAATATTATCTTGATTGTGGTTTGGTTTTACAAACATGTAAGTTTTGGTCAAAACTTACCAAATTGTACATTTTAAATATATGTAGTGTATGTTATGTCAATACATTCATGAATTTTTTTAAAGCAAAATTAGAAAGAATGGTAATTGTGGTATAGGAATAAACCAGTAGACCTCTGCAACAGAACTCAGTTATAGACCCACACATAGGGTTCCACAGCGGTGACACTGTAATCAGTGATGACAGGATAGAGTAGTGAATAAATTTTTAGAAAACTAGCTATCATACTAAGAGCAGGGCAAAAATCCCTAATTAATATCATACACAGAAATGAATTCTGGGTGAACTGAAGGTTTATATAATAGAGTCAGATCTTTAAAACTTCTAAAAGAAAATATAAGAAAATACTTTTAGTTAGCATAATGTTCTAGTCCTTTTTATGGCCAAGTAGTATTCCATGGCGTAAATGTACCATGGCTGTTTTATCCACTCATCTAATGATGGACACCTGGGCTGTTTCCAAATCTTAGCTATTGTAAAGAAGGCTGCAATGAACATAGGGGTGAAATAAGCCAGTCAGAGATAGACAAGTACCATATGATTTCACTCATATGTGGAATTTAATGAACAAACCAAACTAACAAGCAAAATAGAGACAGACTCATAGAGAGCAGGCAAATAGCTCTAGTTAGGGGGTAGCTAGAGATCGGGGAGAGGAGGAATTGAGCAAAAAAACACAAAAAAACTCATAGACACAGACGACAGTGTGGTGATTGCAGGGGGAAGTGGGGTTGGTGGAAGTGGAAGAGAGTATACAAGGGATAAATGAAAGACAAAGAATCCTTTTAGGACATCGAGGCATGAAAGGATTTTTTTTAAGACACAAAAAAGATACATCTTAGAGAAAAAAATACTGGTAAATCCAACAATGTTAAAATTTAAAACTTTTGCACATCATGATACCCTTTTTTAGTGTTTGTTTTATTATTTTATCTAACAAATCTGATTGATGGTTGCCAGAGGGGAGGGGAACTGGATCAAAAAGGTGAAGTGAATAAGAAGTGCAAATTGGCTGACTGGTTTGGCTCAGTTGTTAGAGTGTCGGCCTGCAGATCAAAGGGTCTCAGGTTCAATTCCTGGTCAAGGGCACATGTCTGGGTTGCATGTTCAACCCCCAGCCCCAGTCAGGGTCATGCAGGAGGCAACTAATCGATGTGCCTCTCTCACATTGATGTTTTTCTCTCTCTCTCTCTCTCTCCCTCTCTAACTCCCTTCCACACTCTATCTAAAAAATATCAATGGAAAAATATCATCTGGTGAAGATTAACAACAACTGAAAAAGTACAAATTGATAAGTCACAAAATACTCATGGGGATGTAAAGTACAGCACAGGGAACATAGTAAATAATATTGTTAATAAATATGTATGGTGCCAGATGAGTACTTGAAATATTAAGGGGAATACTTTGTAAAGCATATGATTGTCTAACCCCTCTGCTGTACATCTGAAACGAATACAAAATAATATTGAATGCAAACTATAATTTTAAAAATAAAATAAATAGTCCTGGCTGGTTTGGCTCAGCGGTTAGAGCATCGGCCTGCGGTCCAGAAAGACCCAGGTTCAGTTCCCGCTAAGGGCATGTACCTCGGTTGTAGTTTGTCCCCAGCCCTGGTTGGTTGTGCGGGTGGCAGCCACTCGATGTGTCCCTTTCACGTCAATGTTTCTCTCTCT